TTTGTCAACTTTGCTTCCTTGGATTGCTTCCAAGACTGAGACATTGTGAAAGCAGATGTTACAGCAAACCAGAAACTGATTGAAAGTAGTAAAAAGGGAAACAGCAGTCATAGGAAGGCCAACCCACACAAAAATCTCATAATGACAAAATTGTTATTTTCAAATTTGGAAGGAAGGAAAAGAAGGAAGAATATCATAGGAACTATAGTTGCTTGTCCACCTCCTCATGTCCAGATGCTTATTTGACCCAAATTAATATTTGGAGGGGGCTGATAGGGATGAAACCCATGGGGCTCACTTCAGCCTCCATGTCTTCTCTGGTTATGCTTGTTTTGAATGTTTGCGTGAATATTCAGATGCCTGTAGGCTCTTGGAGTCACGATCCAGCATTCTGAAGATAGAGGAATGCGGGTGACCTGAACAGGTGGATCTCAGCCCTGATGACATCATCCATGACATCATTGTTGAACTGCCCTAGATTGTATGTATGACAAAAATTGTGCTAGGAGAAGAGGAAAAACACTACTTCAAAAATAGAAGAGCTAAAGAAGATTTGACAAACTTGTTATCTGAAAGACCACTTCTTCTGATATTCATCTATCTGTCCTGTCCCTTTGGGATTGTTTTCTGATAGGCTTCAGAAGGGGCTTTTTCCTTCCACACTTTGGAACTTTCTTCCACAGAGATTCAATCAACCCCATCTCATCTGGGCTTTGGGAAAGCTTTTAGAACCTACTAGTTCCATCCAGCACATGAGGAGGAACTTTAAATGATGGTGGGGTTTTGAGCACACTGGTTGCATCTTTTTTGTCTCTTGGTTCTTTTATGTATTTTTGCAGGGTTTTCCCACCCTAATCCTAACCCTAATCCTAACCCTCTTTTTAATTGATGTATTATTTCATGATGAGATTGCTAGCCACCTAGAGGCTTTGGGGATTCATTCATGATGAGGCTTTGGGGATTCAGAATCATACAGATAAATACATAATCAAGCAAATAATAAATAATAAACAGATAAGCAAGCTGCTTCAGCTGTGGAACATCCTGAGGACATGATGTAAAAGCAGATCATGGTCATGCCACAGAGGATAATGCCTGATGCAAAGGAAGCCTATGGCATTCCAGGTACGGATGCATTGAGTGGACTCCTCTCACGCACATCCAGAGGTTGTATAATGCCTATCCCAGCAGGGGGCAGCCCCTAGTCACTTGTGGCTGCTCTTCAAAAAGATAAGCTGGCTGAGACCTAGCTGGGTGGGAGGCCACCAGAAAATCCCAGGTACAGGCTAGGCTGAGAAGCTGGAGAAACATCTGGGCAGAAAGGAATGATGGTCCCCTTCTGCATTCTTGCCAAGGAAACAATATGGATATAGACATGGAATCACCAGGAGCTGAGCTGTACCTAGCAGGCCATGCGCCAATGTTTGCATTCAACGTGTTGTCAGGCATCCTCCATAAACATGGTCGAGGGTACAGCACATGACTCCATGGGGCATGTCTCCTCGATGGTTTTGTCCTGTAACCCCTAAAGTCAGCAGAAATGTTTAGCATGTGGAAAGTTTTGATTTGTGTGTTTGTGTGCATGCGTATGTGTGTTTTGCCCCTCAAAGTTTGCCAAGCAAACCCTGGCAGTCCCATCTTGAAAGAGGAATGAAATCGTCCAAAACATTGCTTCTGATTTTTCCCATATACGTAGCTCTGCAAAGAAAGGTTTGGAGAATCCGTTGGCATGGGACCTGAATCCTGGGAATGAAACAAAACATTCTTTTGCTGGGGCTGGGGCTGGGAATGGGGAATAATGATAAGAACCTATGATCTTTATGAAAAGGCCTACAGTATTTGTCTCCCAGTTTCTTTGCTTACAAATCACGTTTTGCAGACTGAAGGGAAGAGTACAGGTCAGATCAGAATAATTTATAGCTTCAGAAAGAAATCCTTCTTGTTTTACTGCAGTTTGTTTTCTGGCCCTGGGGGGGAAAACTACATCCAGTCCAGGTTTCAACATCTTGCAGCTGCTTTGGATGAATCTCCATCAAAGGAATGCAACTCCATTTGGGAGAAAATACTTTCTTTAGTTTATTTGCAAATGTATTAAGTAGTATAGTGGTCCATCTTCCAGCCAGTAAACCTTGCCAATGTTATGTGGGAAACATGTTTTTGGCCCTCATACATGGCATTGTCGAAATATCTCTATGGCTCAAGCAATGTGGTCTTTGTGGTTAATCGTGGACTTCAATATTAGATGATCTCTGGTAAGATTTAAGCTGGGGATTTTCCTGAAACCAGCCACTAAGTTCTGCTAAACAGTAGCATTATTAGAAACTGAAACTCAGGGTTTTTCCAGATGGTTTTATTAAGCCCCTTCAGGGGTGCTGGTAGATGTTCTGGCATTCTCAATAGCCTAAGGTCAACTGTCTCCAAAAGGTGGTGGAGGATGGGCCATGTTGTGGTTATGCATTTATGCAGGTCCAGATTAAGAGTTGTTACACTCCTTAGGTCAAATATTGGGAGCTAGAAAGGAACTGCCAATTCTTCTATCTTGGGTACCTGGAGACAATCAGGGAGAGGTTGTTTTCAGATTGGGGTGGAGATGGACATGATGATGGAATCCAGATATTTTTAATTCCGTTTCTGGCACCATCCAGATGTTTTGGAAGTACAGATCCCAGGCTTCTCAGCCACAATGGGCCATAGGCCAAATGAATGATAGATGCAAGTACCAAACTAAGCAAATGCCCATTATTCCATGAGAAAAATCTTAAAAAGTACCTCAACAAATTTCCAGACTATCCAGAG